AGAGGTAGTGACTTGATCAACTTTATCACAAAAAAAATATCACTCTAGGAGTTTCAGTGGCTATGACTTTGAGTTCATCATCCATCACTAGTAAGTCCCAAGAAGTCAAACTAGGGATGGCGTGGCTGCTGAGTGATATAATCAGGAACATAGACCCTTTCTAGCTTTCCGTGGCTCTGCAGTCAGCATACTGGATTTCGTTTTCACGCTCATCAAGACCTCATGGACCCGAGATGGGTGCTGTACATCCAGGATGAAGTCAGTATTCCCGGCTGGAAGAACTGGAAGAGGCAGCTTTGTATCTCATTAGCCCAAACCATCGCACTTTGGCTATCCTTAAATGTAAGAAAACTAGGAAATTGAATGTTAACTTTTACAGCTTCTCTAGAAGAAATAGGTAAAGGAGAAAGAGCTTAACAATGGAGGTTGTGCCAGCATGTAAACATGATAGGGGTAATAAATCAAAATAAATGGTGCTGTGATTCAATGGTAATTAACATAATCAAATGGTGCTATAAATAAATTGTATTTGTTTCCATATATAAAATATATCCCCAACAATATTTTCTCCATAGGTTAATGTTTATTTATATATATGAACAATAAGACTGTTCAAGAACCTAATAAACCTATGTAGAAATACAGCAGCACTATAATCAGAACGAGAATGGTATTCTCCACAGCTGCCTGCCCTTTTGAATTCTAAGGTTCAACATTCATTCATCCAGCTAAAAGCTATCATCACGAAAGATCCCCTGGAACTCAGCAAACAGCTCATACCTCTGAAAGACACCAGGGGGCAGTGTAGCATAAGAAATGAGAGTCAGCTTTGCTCTGTAACTTGATTCCATCAAATTAAATAAGCCAGTGTAATTTTTAGGTTGTGTGCTTTCCCCAAGTCCTTGTGCCAGCAGTTCGGCATGGTTTCAACCCCATTCCCAGAAATGAGCCATGAGTGATGTCCCTTCGGTGATGCACAGTTCCTGTGGCTTATTAACACTCAAATTCTTTTCAGATGGAAGACTGTTGACTGAAGACACAACTGTGTTGTATAATGCAACTTCGTCCAAGGCATTTTTAGCCTATTTGGGGAAATGATGAGATCACACCCAGGTATTTGTTTCCAAAATTCTGGATCATGGGACCTCCATAGGTCGAAACCTGTGGGACAGAATGGCTTAGGTAAACTACCCACTTTTAAGAGTGAGGCTCTAAGGATTAGAGCTGTATTCCTTTCTTTAAGAATTTTGAGTCTAAAGATGAAACAGAGTCACATATGAGCAGCAAAGTCATTTTTAGGTTTTTTTTTTAGAAAAGTATAATGACACCTCAATCTTTAAACATATATTCCTTTTTCTGAATCAGCTGAGATTTTGACACATGAAGAGATATTGAACCAGCAGAAAATTAGAATAATGGCAAAACCAGGTGGTATCTTCATCCAAGGATAATATACTGACTTCAGCAGAATGAAACTCCAGTGGTTAGAACCAATTACATGGAACCCTGTGTTGGGAAGGTTTTCAGGCTATGTCTGGTCTTGGTGAGAAAAGGTGTACTGATTGATTAGTGACGTCATAAGTGAAGAGATGAGGCCTGGGAATATATCTGTCACATGTTTACATGTTTTCTATGTATCTTACTCTAGTTCAATGCCATCTCCAGCCATTACATTTGTGAGGATTTATTTTATATAAAGCACTCTGTTGGTTGCCATAGAGGATGTGAAAAAAAAAGGGGTGGAGTATGGACCCTGCACTTCCGGAGATGATTAATATAGTAAGGAAGAATGGAGAACCAGGTAATTTGAGATAGAATCACTGAAATGTCATAAAGAAGTAAAAATAGAGCATTCTGAGGGGTAACTAGGGCAAAAGACCACTCTCGTCAAGATCCGATCAGTCCCAGAGGTGAAATTTTCTGCCGGGTCTTGAAGAATAACTAAAATTGTCACAGGAGACTAGATGTAGAAGGAATTCCATAAACACACCGTGATGTGAACACAAATTGAGAATAGACCTTGTTCAGTCAGAAAACAGTTCCTTGTGAAAGTCAGTGGTACAAATAATGCTGAAGGTGACAGGTGTCCTCCGGAAAAGGCACAGTTAATATATTCTACACATTCATTAAACGGAATCATTCGGCCATATCTGCATGCCTAAATCCCAATCTTTAGCATGTATCCGACTGCTTTATGCCAAATATGGTTGGGGAGCAAGGAGGCAAGGAATTCAGCAAACTTTCTGCAATAAATTAACTTTGTGAGTTTTAATTTATTAATTAGCAATAAGGAAAATAAGTCTTCTCATGCAGGTTTATTAAAAGAGTTAAATATATTTGAATATATTAAAGTGTTTGAGACCTAGTGGGTTCTCAAAAATATATTAACCAAAATTTAAAATCTATCGTAGTAGAGCAGTGATGTATAATTTCGGTTTTTCAGCAGCTCTGATTGGACATATTTTTCTCTGCTGCTACATTTATTAGTGTCCTTTTACCTTTGTGACTCAAAGTTTGGAATACTCTTTGACTCAGTGAGTCATAAGAGATGTTGCTAAAAGAGCAATGATCGATCATAAATAGTTTCCATAATGGCTAGTTTCTAGATGAGGTGCTTCTATAAACACAGGTCAGCTGAACCTCTTACTCAAGTGTACAAAACAAAGCGAGCTATAGAACAGCCACAGAGAATCCAAATTGAACATTAAAATACATAAGTCAATACAGTATTCTAGAGTTATTATCACTAGTTATTCCCCCAAAAAGCAGTTTTTCATGTTCTCTGAATATAACAAAACTGTAACGAATGCTGACAAATTTCCTAAATTTGCCTTAAAAACAATACTTACCACTAGCAACAGCCCTCTTTCTCCATCAATGGTACCGACAGGCCTTCTCTGGCCTCGACTCGCCTTGCTGTGTGGGCACCTGTGGTTATGCCTAGGGTCAAGCCAGGAGCCAACTCATTAATCTTTCACCCACCCCCAGCTCCCAACCCTAAGGCATCTCACTTCTAACTAAATTTGACAGATTCTCAATAAACCAAGATGTTGGCCCAATATGATAGTTTTTGATTTGGGAATGGATCAAACAGAATGTAATTGGTTGAGTGAAGCTGGCGGCCAATGGAAAAATAAATTCAAACCTTGCAGATGAATAAGTGGCCTTCCATCTGTCTTAGGAAGAGGACTTTGGATAGAAAACCTAGACTTAAAAATAACAATTATCAACCATCTCCACCCTTGCCCTCTACCTCATGGGAATTAGAAGTCACAATGACAGGTGTGCTGGAGTGCCTTCTCTGTTTCAAAAGCTCAGTGGATGTGCTCACGGTGAGGCCCACCTGGCTGGCGGTCGGGAGAGACAGGAAGAGAAGGAAATTAGCATCCTCTGAGTACCTATCAGCGATAGTTACTGCCTTTCCCTTGTGAGATTGGTATTATAACTAGATGGTGGGGAGAAACAACCACCAGAATTTCTGGTGGTTTATTCTGGGCAGGGGGTAGATATTCATAATGCTCTTTTCTTACAAAGATTGGTCCTGCCTAAGAATTGGATTACATTAAGGAGAAAACAATGTCATTTTGAAGCTTCTGTAGGTTCTTTGTGCTTCATAGGGGCAGGACCTGAAGTAAAGGCCCTTTGTTTGGCAGAGTGAGATCATAAGCTTTAAAAATGTCCAGCGCATACACCTGAAACGAATTTAATATTGTATGTCAAATAACATTGAAAAAATATATATAAAAACATAAAAACGTTTCAAAATCGAAGACAGTGATGTCTAGAACGTGTGTGGAGTAGGGAGTGAGACATGGAGAGCTGTGAACATTCGAAGAAAGTTAAAGTTCAAGAGAGAGAAGTCGCGGTAGGAGAAATCCAAGAAGTAGAGGCAAATCCAGGTCTAAGGAGACACAGCCAGTGAGAAATTCTCTGCGAAACGAGGCTCGCTGATCTTGTTACTGAATCGTTTGAGTGGTCGCTTCCACTGTGCCATCATCCCAAACCTTCATGCGAAGTCAATTCCATGGGGAGACTTGTGTAGGTGGATCTTTGGAAGAATAAAGGAAGTGAATGCGGGAAATGAAATGGGGTCACTAAGAACAGAGTGAAGGACCGCAGTTGTGGGAATTAAGATGCAGGCAGGTGGTCAGGGATTCAGAGGCAGTGGAACATGAGAGCGAGAGGCGGCCATAATAGATCATGGATAAAGGCCCGAGAACTCCAAGGGTGCAGGGACACAGGTGAAGGCAATATTGATGGTGGGCATCGGGTTTCCAACTTAATGAAGGAATACGTATTAAGGAGTAAAAAGTGTAGTGTGATACGGTTGAAGGGTATTAACAATCCACCTGATGTCATAGAAGTGACATGGCTCTCAAACTCAAAAGCCTAACTTCTTTATACCACACTCCACTTTTTCTCCAAGAAATAATAGCTCATGTTAGTTGGGTCCTGACTTACTCTATGCGTGGATTTGTGCTCTGGTGAGTCGGGTACTAGTATCATCCCCATTTTACAGCAGAGGAAACTAAAATTCAGAATGATTTTGAAACTTGGCAAAGCTCACAGAGCAAACAAAAGACAGAGTCAAGATTTAATTACAGGTTTTTCTAACCCCAAAGTCCCAGTTCTTAACCACTAGCTATATCGCTTTGCCTGGAAGATGTAAACGGAGTTGATAACACAGCTATTTACCTATGGACTAGTTTCTACTATGGGTTACTCATATTAACAAATTAATTTATTGGGTTTGTGGTATAGGGAGGAGAAGGATTTTTAAAAAGCTATCGCCTATACAGTCAGGAACCAAGTCGAAAAGGGTAAGTTTTACTATTCATCTTGACAAGATATTCAGGACTGAATAGTGCCAACTATAGGGGAAATCTAACTCTTTTCAAATGAATCCCAGAATTCTGGAGAAGAAAAACATGACTCACAGACAAAAAAGTCCTTTAAAAGCATCTTTTTATTTGCTATAAGAATATATAATTTGGCATTTCTATACAATCCATCATGCAAATAACATGGTAGGCATTTTACAAGCAATGCAGAATCTTGATATCTGTGCATTTGCTCAATTAAAATATTAGCAAAGATTGAAAAAAATAACATCTTGGAGTAAAAGAATACAGAGGGAGCCAAATTTTTTCTCCAGGTTCACAGTTTCCAATATCAAGATGCGCAGAGAAGAAAACACAGCCACACTGAAGTCTCAGTACCTAAGACTGAAGGTATTGAGGATTAGATGAGGGACATTATTCGTGGGCTGATTCTTTGCTATAAGAACTCATAAAATTTTTCCATAGCTTTGAACATTATGTCGACAATTACTTTTCTAAAAATTTTTTATGAGTTTATTTGAGCCAAGCAGAGGATGCGCCTGGAAGCAGATATCAACAGACTGAGAACAAGGCTTCCCAGAATGACAGTTTGCAGTTTCTTTTGTGTGTCTAGAATTAAGGAGAGCAGTGAGGAAAATTACATGAAGGTGGGACAAAGCAAGGCCGAGAGTGGATTACAGGCTAGTTAACGAGATTGTGTGCCCTCTTGTGGGTGGTTACCTTCGGAGGGGTCTGAAAAAGACATTTCAAAGGTGTGTTAACCTAGATGCACAAAAACAATAGACAGGGCTTACTTAAGGTAAAGATAAGCCTTTTACTAAAGAAGTATGTGCCTGGAGCATGACTATCCACCATGACCTGTCCAGTTAGGAATTATGATCAGATCACCCTGCGAGGTTACTTTCAGTTAGATATGTTACAGCACCCCCTTTTTCCTCCAGAATCCATTGAGTAGCAAGGCAGCCACCACCTCGTGGGCAGTTTCATTGTGTGGCCAGATATCTCTATGCAGAAAGCACTAAGGTATCTGTATATGAACAGGCAGAAGTTACCCATTGAGTTAGCCTAATCCAGGTGGAAAAGAAGCTATCAGCAAAAGGGTCCTTTTGCTCAGGCACTGAGCAGGGAGCTAAGAATTACAATTGCTTCACTCACAAAGTCACAGTTATTTTCCTTTTTGTATAGTACTTAAATTTCTCTGAGATACCATCACAAAGCATATTATAAATGATTTGCTCAATAGCAGGATGGGCACTAAACTCCGGAACTGGCTCAATTGCATAACCGTAGTTTACTGAAAATGAACTATGAAGAATGAAAGAAGAGGACCCGAAACCCTTTACACTCAGACCCCAAAGGCTGTGGCATCAGGGCACAGTCTGTTCTTTGTATGAGCGTATTTAGGGAGGGGGAACCTGGAGAGTTTTTCCTAGATGTAAAATCCTCCTAGCTCCATCTGTTGGACCCCATCACTTTTCAAGCTCAGCAATATCAATTAGAATTGATATTACCTTAACCGTCATCACAAAAGGCACAGTGGACATTATGAATCCCACTTTCTAGTTAAGCAAAGCTTTCAAAGATTATGCCATCAGACCGAGGACCTGCAACTCGTTATACACAGGACAGGACTGGAGATCAGATCTGCGTAACAACAAGCGTAAAGTTTTCCACTGCATCAGGCCATTTCTGAAGGGATCAAACGCTGTTTCTGGCGTTTGAAACTTATATACGTGACCAGTTAGGAAGATGATCTGAAATTAAACTTAAAGGCATCTCCAATCTTATGGCAAAAAAAAATCTTCAAATAAGGAATTCAAATGAGGTTCAGCATTTTACACCCTCCTGCCCCAGAACTCAGAATCTCTGAGGCGTGAGCATCTCATCGATTTCTAGCTTTGTCTACTGTGAGTGAAAGTGAAGAATTAGAGGAACGCAGAACCAAAACACGCCTCCTACAGACTTTCATGGTCTTAAGTAAATCTATTAGGCCTGAAGCACACAGTAAGAACCAGAACAAGGGGCTTTAGTTTTAATTTGGATCTGCTTTGTGAAGCCTGAGTTCAGAAATATCTATAAACACAATGATTCATCAGTCTTCTTTTCCCTTTAAGATTGTTACATTCAGAAGCACAACTTTTGTTTTGAGTGTATTTACTTTGAAAGTCCTGTGTTTACTTGAATTTTAAATATTGCATTTAAAATTGAAAAGATGTTTTTAGAAGTGCATTTCTTAAATATGATGATTATTAAACTAAGAGTGTTATGGGAGCAGGTCAAATTCCAGGGATAAAAATAGTGTCAATGAGAGGTATTTCATTTTTTCTGAATAGGTCGTATCATTTTAATTTTGATCTAATTTAGACTTTGGAAGATATATGCCAATAAAAGCCACATGAGACAACCCTCTTACTGGTTTGCTACTGGAGTCTGCATTGACCCCCAAATCTAGCAACTGATAAGTCTATAACAGAACAACAAAGGGGAAAATCAAATACAGCCTTCGCTTTGCCCTCATGGGCAGACCATTGATTGCACAGCCCCACAGGCTCCCGGGGGTGTTAGAGACAATCCCACTGCAGCCGGTGAGCGGTGAGAGGCAGGTGAGGGGGCCTCTCTTTCCTTCACTCCCTCTCTTCCCCTTGACCTATTATTTTCTGTTCCAGTTATGTGAGATGTTCTGAATCTTTTTCATTTTGATTCTCTGATCCAGCATCTTGTACCTTGCAGGATGCTCTTCAGTCTTCTTTGGGACCGAAGGTGCATAGGAGCTAGATGCATAAGCAGGGCGTTTAAAGTGCCGCAGAGGAGGCTTGATGACTGAAGACCATGCAAAGGAAGACAGACAACCGTTAGCCTCACTAACCGTTAGTGGCACGACTTCCTCGCACCTGGACCTAACTGTTTCCTTCAAAACCAGAAAACACAATTAAACTCTCACTGGAAATAACGAGTTGCAGATAGATGAATAAATACATTTTCACCTCGGTCATTCTCTTTAAATAAAAACAAATTCCTAGAGATAGACAGGGATCACTCTGGAATATAAAGTTCTTTTCTAATGAATGGATAGGGTTAAGGAAGTAAGAGGCAGCAATAGGGTCATTTTGGGGAAGAGCAAGGCAAACAGCAGTGAGCACAGCCATGTTATCGATCAGCTTTCAGCATCGTATGTAAGCTTTTAAAGTCGCAATGTGGCGCATAATCCTAAAGTGCTAATACAAGGTACGTCATTGAGAAAATATTTGCAAAAACGTATATGTAAGTTTTGTATCTAAAATAACTAAAGATCTGAACAGACTCCTCACCAAAGAAGATACACACATGGTAAAGCATAGAAAGATATTCAACGATTTTTGTCATTAGGGAATTATAAATTAAAACAACAGTAATATATACTACAAACCTACACATTTTGGATAAAATCCCCCCAAACTCTGATGATGCTCATTGCTGACAAGGTAGAGTGACAGGAGCTCTCATTCTTGCTGGTGGGATTGTAAAATGTTACAGCCACTTTGGAAGACCGTTTGATAGTTTCTTATGAAGCTAGTCTCCCCATGTGATCCAGTCATTGTGCTGCTATGTATTTACCCAACTGATTTGAAAATTTATGTCCACATATAAACTTGTACAATTTTATAGAAGCTTCTTCACAATTTCCCCAAACTGGAAACAATCAAGATGTCCCTCAGCAGTTAAATGGATAAAGAAATTGCAGAACATCCACACAACAGAATATTATTCAGCGTTAAAAAGAAATGAACAGTCAAGCCACGTAAAGACATACATGAATCTTAAATGTATATTGCTAAATGAGAGAAGCCAGTTGAGAAAGCTACATACTGTATGATTCCATTTCTATGACATTCTGGAAAGGGCCAAACAATAGAAATGATAAAAGGATCAGTGATTGCTGGGGTTTTGAAGGGAGGAGAAGGGGTTATACAGGTGAAGCACAGAGAATTATTAGGGAAGTAAAACTATTCCATATGTTACTTTAGAGGTGGATATGTGATGCTATGCTTTTGTCAACACCCATAGAATTTTGCAACACAAGGAGTGAACCGGAATATATGCAAATTTAAAAAATAATTTAGGAGGTCAGGGGAATCACAGAATGGAATGCGGAATGTAACAAAACAATTTAACTGCATTATAAATGTAGGAAACAACCTCATCAAACAGGGTGTGGCTAACTTTGGATAGGAGTGGATTCTGTTGGACTCAAGGTCAGTGATGCTGCACACAAGTGCTCTATACTGGCTGATGAAGTTGTTTCCCATGGGAGTTAACAATTCTGCTACTACTCTATATGTCTGTTAGAACTGGACAACTATGTACATGGACGGTGGACGGTGAGAGCCAGGATTCTCTCTGCTAGGGTGGGAATTTACAGAAAAGCAGAAAGAGAGGCCAGAATGATTCATGTGGCAGTATGAATTCATTCTTAATATAGATACAGATAGAGATAGATAGATGATAGATGATAGATAGATAGATAGATTAGATAGATAGATAGATAGATAGATAGATAGATAGATAGATAGATAGATGATAGATAATGGACGGACGGACGGACGGACGGACGGACGGACAGACAGAGACAGACACACACACACACACACACACACACACACACTTCCTTGTGCTATTAGCTGGAAGGGCCTGGATGCGACGAAGCAGCTACTGGCCTAGAAGTCCCAGCAGCCTCGAGCTCTCCCATAGCCCAGATCATGGTTTCTAACCGCATTCTCCAAAAAAAGGAACCAGGGCTCCTTGTAGAAATGGCTGTTTCTAGGACTGGAGAACAAAATATACCAGATAAACCTGGAGCATCTTAAAGTGGCAGAAAGTAAGAAAGGGCAAAAAAGAATGACGGGACAAAGGGGCCCCCCAATAAAAGAGCTCCCGAATGGCCAAAGGTGGAATAATTTGAGCAACAAAGTAAATAGGGAAGTTTTGAATTATAACCCAATGCATAAAATACACATCCATGAATCTGTACTGATATAAATATTTGAATAAATAAATAAGTGTGGGGCAATAGACAAATCTCTCAGGCAAAAGAATTTTAAATCATTTATGTAGATAAACCTCCCTCATGGTGGAGGAGCCTTGAGTGTGGGTTGGACACAGTGACATCCTTAGGGAGTACAGTCTAGAAAGGGGACAAAAGAGCAACTTTATAGTGGAGAAATCTAGCAAACGCTGCCTCAGAGATCAAGGTTAACATCAGTAGTGATAGGTCATGTTGGCATTAGGCTCCCCTGACTGTATGTGTTGGAAATGGATATTATATTGTAAAAATTGCATTTTAACTCCATGGTCTTCCTACCCAAAATACATAACCCCATTTTCGTGATGAAAAAGCATCAGACAAGTCACAACTGAGGAAAATTCTGCACAATACCTGACCAGTATTCCTCACAACTGTCCAAGTCACCAAAAACAAGAGAAGTCTGAGAAACTGTCACAGCCAAGAGAAGCCTAAGTAAACACAATGACTAAATACAATGTGTCATCCTGGATGGGATCCTGGAACAGAAAAACAAAAAAAACACTAGGTAACAACTAAGGAAATCTGAATAAAGTATGGACTATAGATAATAATAAAAGCACATCATCTACCTGTAGATGTACACACAGAAGAAGGTAAAATACTAATTGATTCTTCCCCTCTACTCCTGTCTGCTCTAGGCCCTCATCACCTACCCTCCCTCCTCCCCTTCTTGGTCCTGCTGGGAAGTGCTTAGTCAATGAGACAGTGTAAAAGTGAATAAAGATAAGGCCAGGTTAAGTAATAATCACAAGCAGGTGAGCTGTAATAATCAGGTAAAAGGCGTGGAGGAGCAGAGTCAATGCCGAACCCATTGTCTCAAACGCCAGCTCTCGCTGCAGGGCCAGCAAAGGGGTGTGACACGCAGGTGGCTCAGCTTGAAGGGCTAGGACTGGGGGACAGCTCTGTCAAACAAGAGGTTACCTGAAAAACCAGCTTTGCAAATCTCTTCCAGTAACAGGAAAATGCACAGCATTTATGAACAAGCAAAAGGTTAGAAATAACTTAAATGTACAATCATAGAGAATAGGTTAAGTTCTGGTACATTCTTAAAATATACTACTGTGATACTATGGATCGGGTTTTAGCAATGCAACTTTTTGCAAAGAAACATACTACTCAAAATGTCTTCTTTAGAATCGTATATCAGAACTATTCTAGAAAATCATACACAACAGAAAGTCAGAAAACTGAGCTTACTTTGGGATGTAGTACTAGACATCTCAGAGAGCTCATAGCTTAGTATACATTTGACAGCCTATAGATTACAATTCTTAGAGCACCTACTATGTCCTGCTGATGTAACCATGAACAAAAGAGACAGAATTCCTGTTCTCAAGGGGCTTCCATTCTAGTAATACCCCCTGAAACTGGTGTCCTGCTTAAAGATGAAAAAAGTTTTCGGGCATAATAAGTGATGCTATTCCTACAAGCTCCATAACACCCACACCAACTTGGCAAATGGTCCGGTAGTGACATCATAATATATACATAAAAGAACAGAGGTTTTTAGGATCTCAGAGTGCTAATTTTGTTTTTTAGGGTAAACAAGGGATTGCAGCACGAAACACTCTATAAACAAACATAAAAACAGTCCTGTTAAACCGGGAGAACGGAGTAGGGACGGGAGGGGGCTTCAGAGTCGAAGCAGAGTGTTGCCAGCGTCTGGGCCGGCTGATTTACTACTCTCCAAGTCACAGTCCCTCCATATTCACTCTATTTTCACTACTCAGCATGAACCCGGCCAAAGTATTATTGAATTTCCCACTTCTCAGCATGAAGAAACATTTACCGTTTGCTGGAATTCTCATTGTCTGAACAAAAACTCTCCTTGCCACTGGAGTCACCGCAAATAGAGTTGAACCCGCTGACAGAGATCGGCTCCCCACCGAGACTGTGGAAATCCTTGTAGGCCCGCTGTCACCTTCACTCAAAATGTAGGAAGAAGAGAAAATTCATAGAGTGCCGTTTCGTATGCATTGATCGCCCTTCCCCTCGGCAGGGCAATGTGATTTGACTATGGGGCAAAAGAGCGGAGCCAGAAATGACAGCGCCATCTTGAGCCGAATGGGGACTTTCTTCTGGGGTGTTGGTGTGGCCTTCGGAGGACTTCTTTTGTCTTCCGGCTGTTCCTGAAAAATTCCTAGACGGGGCTCTGACCCCTGCTTTTTCATCAACTGGGCACTTCCCACAGCCGGATCCAAGCAGTGGGATCCCAATCCTCCTTCCCACCCCCACCCCACCCCCACAGATACAACCAAACTGGGGACAGAACCCACTCCCCTCTGTATGCCTCGTTATCAGCAAGCTGGACCCTTTTCTGTTGAGGACACAGTCACAAAGTCTACTCTTCGTCTCTTGGAGCAATTTACTTGGAGAAAAAGATCTAATTAGCTAATGAAGGTTTGACAGAGGCACATGTCTCTGTGTAGAACCTGCACTAGGGAAAGTCATTATCTATATTACTTTCAAACGTCCCTAGGAAAAGAAAACTTCAGGACAAAAATTGACACATCATCATCCTTTATTTTATAATTACACGCAATGTTTGTTTTTCATAAAAGCAATACTCTTTTAGGAATGTTAATCCTCATTTGTTTAAATCTCATCATTTTCATAAATATCACAATTCCTCCCAAAGGTAGCCATGATTTTCTCCCTTTCCTCTGCTACCACCTGTCTATAATTTTTCCTCTCCCTGTGTCCTTCTGTGTCTCTCTCTGAGACCGTTTTTGCTTGGTGGCTCCTTTTTCTTTCTGAC